TAAATAAATGCAACTATTCATTATTCTCGGCTTATCCAACTTTAAACCATGAATGGTCCATTATTTGGAAGTATTTCTATCTTGAATGATTAAATTTGACTTAAATTTACATATTCAAGAGGTAAGAAAAACATGAAGTGTTTATTGGCATTGTTTTAAATGAACTGCACAAAAGGTAGCTCTGCATTTGATCAAAATAACATGGATACAAAAGGATGGCTATATCTTTCTATATATGTTTGCTCAATCAAATAATGCAGCTCTATAGAAAATAAAATAAAAATGTTAAAGCAATTAACTGGTCGGAATAAGGTTTAAACTTGTCCAGTCACTGACTACATTTTAATTAACAGAGAGAGAGAAAGAGACTTTAAACACATGACCAAAGGACATGAACTGACTCATAGCTGCTAAACTATAAAGCAATGTTAAGGTTGCTAGTGCAATATATGAAGAGTAAGATAAATTTGCTGATTTCTTTAAGGAAACTTACACTGACACTTGAGAAAGTCATTTAAATTATCAATGATTCTTAAATAATTGGGATTAGAGTGCCTTTTTGTAAACTTTGTTCTTCCTTTGATACCAACATCGTTTAAATTATCTCACTGACAACACTGGGATCTAAGTTCAATTTGCAGATTAGATCTATACCGAATATTTACCTTATAGTTCTAGCAATCTTCTTGGAGGTAAATATAACAGCAGATCAAGTTTATCACTGTCTTACCTTTATTCTTTCTTGGTAATATATAGGTTTTGTTGTATATTTTCCTATCCCAGAGCAACTTCAAAGGCATACTTTTTCACTCTTAATCTTAATCTTCTTATCCCAATAAAGCAACTGAAAGTCCCCTATGCTCTGCTGAATATGTGCAAGATATATTTAGCTCCTGCTGGTTAAAAAGAATTAAGTAATAGAAAAATGTGTTTTATTTAGAGATCCCTTTCTGGCTCCTACTTCCTTGAATACCCAAATATTCCTGGATATAGACACAAAGAACTGTATTTTTTTTAAAGATTACTGCAAGTACAAGAGAGTAAAAAGCTTCTGGGAAGTCCAAGTAGTAGAATTTCAACTTGGGACTCCTAAAAGTATAATAAGTCTTTATTTTTACTACTTACAGTATCTAGTTTATTGGCTAATAAAAGTAAATTAGCATATTACAGTTCACACATTTTCAAGCAGGAATTTAATTCCAAAGCAGTTTAAAGTAATATTTGCCTCTGAAGTCACCCATGCATGTTATTTCCTTACCCTTTTTATTTACCAAACTTCATTAGGGAATAAAAAGTTTAAACAAAAGCAGATCAACTTTTTCAATCAGCCAAGGGTATATAAAATACATCACAGAAAGGAGGGGAGAAAAGTTCCTTCTGTCAAGGGATATTTCAATCAGATAAAGTAAAGGGGAAAAAACCCCCAAAAAACAAAAAGGAGCACTTGGTGAAGAAATAGGCTCTTAACAAAACTATAGGAACATTTAGTGCAGCATATTTTATTTGGAAGAAATACCAAAATGATATACAATTCAAGGCAGTTAAGAACAAAGCCTCCTGGAGATGTACGGCTGTTTTACATGCCTATAGGCAGTGTTTCCAGCCTTATGACTATGGGGGTCAGGGCATAAACATGTCATGGTAGCAAAACTGGAATTCTGATACAAAAGCAAAATTAATGCACTGCTGGTGGGAAGCTACTTTTCACGCCTGATTTATCTCTGACTATACAAAAGTTGCCGATATTTTATTAAGTAGCATAAGCTTATAAAATTAATAACAGAACGGCTGAATCATAATGCTTTAGTTATTAGATACGAGAATAAAAGGGACTTGGCATGCTTTAAGAGTTCTTACAGCTCAGTTAGGTAGCACACACTTTTTTAAAACTATTTTTTTCAAGTATTTACTAAAAGTAAAAATGTATGGGTATCACATCCTCTGATATATAGTTCAGATTGCTTATCTGTTCAGCTCTTTGGATTCCTGAGTGAACAGGAAAGTACTGCTGCTGAAAAGAAGAGCAATAACAAAGTGGAAAATTACAGAAGTTGTGACTCTGAAGTCAAAGCTCATTAGACAATGAACTCCCTAGTTTAGAGAATTCAAAACAGAAAATAGGTGAACACCGGTGCCTTTGAGGTTTCCTCCACTTTCCACAGTATATAAGCAATTCTTTAGCAGTTTTATATATGGTCAAAAAAAATTGCCAATATCTTTCTTCCGAGAGGAAAACAACTCAGTTTCGATAATGCTGAATTGTAAGAAATGTTAAATTTATTTAAAAGTTACATTATAAAGTGAATTAAGTTGCTGAAGAACATTGTTCTGAATAAAAATGAAAATAGTCTTCAAACTCAGGGGAGTTAGAGGAAATATTAATTACAGTAACCGTGAATTTTGACCCATGCACAGAAAGAAAATGTGGAATTAGGTAAAGAAGTAAAACTAGATAAAGAAACTATTCAGCTTTTTGAGTTTTATTGCTAACAATGTCAACACAGTACAGACTTCTATGCATAAACAAATCCCTTAGTTGTTTTGTAAATGTCAGGTCTAACCATGCTATTCCTGGTGTGAGATAATAAATTCTTACCTGTGTCATCTTGACAAGGTCCAATGAAGGTCTTTGTTCCTTTATCTCTTCAGGTCGTCTTCGCTTAATTCCAACTTTCTTGTCATTAAGGACACATGGTTGAGACCGACTTCGAGAAAGCCCATTGGAGCGCCTTGTCAACTCTGGTGTTGAGGCAGGTGTGCTGTTTGCTGAGGGCAGACAATTTTCCGAAAAGGAAATTTGATCATGGGAACAAGAGAGAGATCGCTGGATGTCAACCCTACCACTCTCAGAAGAGCAATGATCATTACCCCAAATATCACTTGTCTGTCCATAAGTGGCTGACTTTCTCATTCCTTGGCATGGCTGACATCCAAATCTATTGCTAAATCCCATCTGGTCATATGATGAGGAGAGAGTACATGACCTGGAAGGAAGGCTAAAGCTTGAACTTCTCTGCATGGTTGTGAATCCATTGGAGTAACGCTGCACGCTTCCCCCGCTATAGCAGCGTCTCTTTTCTACAGGAGTCCAGACCTTTGATCCAATGGGCCTCCATGAAGCCCGGCAACTAGACATCTCATCGGAAAAAGAGAGTGATCGGCACTGGCGTTTGCTGGGAGGTGCTGAAGGGTTGCCATTACGGTCACTAAGGCTGAGATCCTTGATCAAGTTGGTTACTGCGCATGCATTAGCTGGCTCTCTCTGCCATAAGGAGCTTTCATCACTTTTGTCAGACAAGCAGTCCCAAATGTTGGCACTTGGCTGTTCGACCTGAAGGGGGTATTTCCTGCTGAGATCTCTCCATCTGTCATTTTCTAGTTTTAAAGGATAAGATAATATACAATCAATCAATCAATCAAATATTTATTACAGTCAAAGACCAGTACAATTAAAAATGCTCAAAGAGTATCTAATCAGAATAAAACAGCAACAAACAACAAATCTATGTTGAAATCATAATTTGGCAGCCTATCTATCAGTTGCACTAAATAAGAAAACAGCCTAAGCTATAATGTAATATTAATCCTTAAATTGTGAAGGCCTATAGTTATTAGGTACTGAAGTACAACAGGGTGATAATATCAAAAGATTTAGTACATTAATTGAATAAAATAGTTATAATTCATCAGGTTTTGGCAAATTTTTAGTGCTGCTGCACAGAATCTAGCTACCTGCGCTATGACTACCATCTCTTCGTCTTTAAGCAACTACTGAAGAAAAACTGTGTCAGAATGAACAGGATACAGTACCTATTAATTATCAGGAAAATAAATTTTGTTCAAATGTCACCATAAAAAGACCAGCAAAGAAAGACATGTCCAGAGGTTTCCACCTCTCCAGAATCACAGTGACAAAGCCTTTCAGCCAGAAGTATCCATTTATATTTGCCATCCAATAATATACATTCATTAGTGCTATTTATCCCTTATCCTCCATATCATTGAAAAGCACAATACATTACAAGAAAAGTCTCCAGGGTCTCTTTAGGATTAATCCCTAGGATTTGTTTTCATAGGTTATTGATTTAAAATGGAGCATGACACAAGTTAATTATCTGAGACCAAGAGCCGCAAAAAACAATGAAAAGAAACACCAAAGTGCTGGGTATGACAGAAGTTGAACAACTTTTGACAAACGACATTTGGAACATGTTGCATCCATTTGTCAGTTCCCTGTGCTTACACCTGGGATCCAGAGTGCTTTCAGCCTATGAACATCATCTTCCACAAGTCTAACTTTTTTGTTCCAATTCTCACTCCCATCTGCTGCTACAAGTGAGAAAGTCGGCAGTGGTTTCAAGTTCCAGGCTGCTGGTTTCCCTGGCAGGGTTTTGCTATGTGATTCTATTTCATTCTGAGAAAGATGAGAAATGACATTTTGTTCCTATGGGAACATGAAATGAAGAACCATAGATGCCATTTTTAATCTACACGATTTCCATATAAATTGCAAGGGGAATGGAAGCATTTTGGGCCTTTATAAATTGGAAATTTATTTATTAAACTTGTTTGCTGCCAATCTTGTTGCAAGGTGACTCTGAGTGGCTTACAACACCAAATGAAACTATAAGTAGATATACCAATGTATAAAATCACAATGAAAATACAGATTATGAAAATACAGATTACAACTAAGACTAAAAGATAGAGAGGAAAGGAGCAGCATGTATAGGAGGGGGAGGGGGAGCTGCTAATAGTTGATCAACCACCTCCAGTGTGGTATTCCCATTAGGGCCCCAAGCAGAGCCAGGTCTTCTTACTAAAATTGTTTTTAGTAATAACAAAATAGGCTAAAAATGTTATCATTAAAGATAAAATGAACAGTTACTGGGGAATTTTTATGCAAGAGAATAAAAAATGAGGACAAGGAATGAATTTGGGAAAAACAAACAACCTCTATATGAATCAACAGCATATTTCAACAATACACCAATGCTCAAAATCAATGGTTAATGGCAATGGTTAATTGCCATCTTCAGTTGGATGATTATACAATCCAAACAAAATACTAAGATCATTTCTAGATGCCCTTCTCTATACTATTTTGAATTGTAACTTGTTTTATTTTTTCACTTTTAAGAACGCCATATAAAACCAGTAATACCCAGTAAACAATTACATCTAAACTGAGGTACCACTGTTTATCCTGGTGTAGTGTTTCTCAACCTCAGGAACTTTAAGATGTGTGGATTTGCTGGCTGAGGGAATTCTGGGAGTTGACCTCTACACATCTTAAACTCGCTAAGGCTGAGAAACACTTTCCTTCTGTGCCAAAGGTGCTTTTCAAAAGGCAACTGCATTTTCTTGGTTTTTTCCCTTGAAAACATTTCACTTCTCATCCAAGAAGCTTCTTCAGTTCTGGGTAAGAAGCAAAATATTTTCAAGGAAGACAAGAAACTCCAATTGCCTTTTGAAAAGCACCTTTGGGACCACTATGACCTGGATGATTGAGAATCTCCATGGATAATTTTCCTGCTGTATTAGTGACAGCCAAAAGAACATTCAGAGGTCAGGACACCAGACAAAAGGGAACAAAAACAGAAATCAGTTGTGCTAGCAAGTTGCTTTGGGTCTGGGGTCTAGTTTTCCCATTTTACAAAAGCCTTAATAACTTTACATGAGAGAGTACAGTATCGGTATTTACAACATTTCTAGATGATTTATACAATAGATAAATCATGCCCACATTACAGGTATTCTTCGACTTACCACCACAATTGATCCCAACATTTCTGTTGCTAAGTGAGACATTTGTTGAGTTTTGCCCCATTTTATGACTTTTCTTGCCACAGTCGTTAAGTGAATCACTGCAATTGTTACATTAATAAGATGGTTGCTAAGTGAATCTGGATTCCCCATTCACTTTGCTTGTTAGAAGGCCGCAAAATGTGATCATATGACCCCATGACACTGCAACCGTCATAAATATGAGTCAGCTGCCAAGCGACTGAATTTTGATCACGTGACCATGAAGATGCTTCAATGGTCATAAGTGTGAAAAATGATCATAAGTCACTTTTTTCAGTGCCGTAACTTCGAACAGTCACTAAATGAATTGTTGTAAGTCGAGAACTACCTGTATTCACTCTTCCGCAGCTATATTGGCAAAGTTGCCTAGTTCTTTATATTATTATTATTTGATCATTTGGTTAGATGGCATATGAAAACATCTTGGAATTCAGTAAATGAAAATACAGTGTAAGATTTTTCAGAAAGAGAGAACTCTGATGTTAATTCTTTTCAGAACTCTGAAGCATCAATCAAAATAGTTTTCACCTGCCTATGAAAAAGCTTGTCTTAAGTGAAATCTAAATAAAATCTATAATGTTCAGTAAAAGGGAAAAAACCCACCGTACTAGCCCTCAAGTAAATCAATTTACTGGGATTGCAGTGCTCATTCTCCTGATCAGAATAGTGTAATAAATGTACAAATTACTATCTAGGCCAGGGGTCCTCAACCTTGGCAACTTTAAGACTTGGGGACTTCAACTCCCAGAATTCCTCAGCCGGCAAATTCAATTCTGGAAATTGAAGTCCCCAAGTCTTAAAGTTGCCAAGGTTGAGGACCCCTGATTTAGGCTATTAGAAATACTGGAGAAAAAAAATAGACACAGGAAGCTTCTGAATTATTCTAGGTCATTAGAAAAAGTAGTAATTCCTATCATACATCGTAGTCCTTATCAAATCTAACTATATTATTAATAACTACTCTGTAATTAATACAGAATTATTTAGTTCTGTATTTCTTTCAGAGATCAATAGTTAAATCATAAGTTTAAGTATTATGTCCAAACAAACCACTATATTATATTCTACTTATGTTTTGCTCATACTTAGCATTTGAATTTAGGGGGAAAAATATTTTTCCCATTGGGTAAAAAACATTCACCTTAAATATATACTGCTATTATTATTCCATGGATCTCAGCCAGTTCATGCAATGGCCCATCCAAGAACTTCTTTTAAATCACTGTGATCTTAAAGATACATCATTGTGTTGATAGAATATGGGTCAGAGAGCAAAAAAATCCTGAATATGGATTTTTCCTATGAGATGTACTTCAGACTTTTTAGATAAAAATAAAATCATCTAGAATTATAGATTCATTGTAAGCTGGCATGGGCTACTTATTCATTTCAAGATCTCACCTACATCTGCTGCGGTTGACAGTTATTAAAGTTCTGACTTCAATTCAGCTGACAGTAGCTTTGTTAAGAAACAAACCGTGAGAACAGAAGCAGAGAAAAGCAACAGATTCTGTACTATTATCAGAAGTGATGGTTTTTTTCTTCTACTTTTTTCTCTCTTCTAAGAGACAAAGGAAATCAGAAGATTGGAACTGAAACTGCTTATGCATGAAATATAGTTTTAGCCATATTTGAATGGCCATTTAATATCTTATTCAGCATGAAGCAAAAATACTGGGATTATAGCACTGAGAACATTTTTTAAGTCCATACATTATTAAAGCTTACAATCAATCTCAAAGCGCTAGAGTGCAAATTTAATTGTGTTCCAATAAAGTATCTTAACAATTTGGATGAATGAAAGGGCTATTTAAGCAGAATGATATGGTGGTGTACATATGGTGGATTCAGTTTCAAAGACTTGAGTGATGAAGGTTTTAATAAGGGGAAATTCTGTTCTTAGTGATGTGTGGGTATCTATTATGAATATTTATTAGGGGAAAAGCTTGCAAAGCAATAGATGGCAACAATTCAAAGGCCAGAAAAAAGATTATTCTGTTAGCATTGCTTGCAAGAGGAAATAATCTTTTTTCCTTCTTTGTCGTTCAGGAACAGTTCACAGTGCATGCACTATCATACTCAAACTGCATCACTATAAGGTCTCCATTTTATTTTTTAATAATTTCCCCTCATAATCAGGCACCAAAACAGAACTTGTGTCCTTTCCTACAATCTTTATGTGCTCATCCCATGCTTTCTTCTTTAATCATTTTCTCAAAAGCCGATAGCCTTGACATCAAATATGAAAAAAGTTTCTATGCTTGGTATTGGCTGACCTTTAAAACCACTGCTTAGATGTTTTGTTTTGAAGCCTTATGTCAGGGGTGTCAAACTGCCAGCCTGCAGGCCGGATGCGTCATGACGAAACCGCACCTACCCCATTGCCAGCAATGAGGAAAAAGCTTCGATATGTCGCACAATGTCACGAGTCTGACATGTCTGCCTTTTGTAGACTACAATTTCTGGACTTTTTGCTGACATAATTATTTTAATTAGGTACTAGAAACTTGGTAAAACGTGTAGTATAAATGCAGACAGCTAAATGATTTTAATTTTTGAAATATACC